TCCCCGTCATCCTCAGGCTCACCCTAATGCGGGGGCAGTTTCTGGGCCCACCAGAGAGAAGCCCCAGTGACTATTTTTAACCTAAGTGCTGGGAATGTTTCGGATCTATTTTTCAAGCATCTGCTTTGAGACAAAAGACATTCTCTTCCAGAAGAAGGTTATCCGAGATGCATGCGAGTAGAGAAAAAAACGTGCACGCAGCAAAAAAGTCGAAGGGAACAATATTTTGAACATTGCGAGAAACACTTGAGCCTCCAGAAAAATATGTCGCTCGGATGGTCAACATCTGGAAGTCATTATGACTATTCTCGGTGTTAATGTAGACTTGCCCAGCTATTCTATTTTGTCGTACTTAAGCCTCGTATCAGTCTTATTTACGTTTTTGCGAATATTTATACAATCGGTGCATCTGGTTAAAGTAGTTTCATTTATAAAATTATATTATATTGAGAGATTTTATTGTCAACGTGGAGTAAATTTTTGAGATAATATTTGATAAATAAATTATGAGTTTAATTGACATCGACTAATCTATTTTTGTTTCAAGAAGTAAAATTTACCACTTCAGTTCTTACCCTAACTCTAGGCATTCTTAAGAAAAAGCAACATTATAAGAATCAACGTTTTCCCACAGCATTTATAAACTTTACTTATAACTGGAATATTGGCAACAGAAATAGGAAGTCGGATTAAATGGAAAAGTGACGATCAAAAAGTGTCCAGTTTGACTCTTTAATACTAGTACAGGTCAATTAATAACAGTTATAGTGGAAAACAATATAGGTAAGTGATTTTTCGCAAATCAACATGACATTTCTCGCATTAATTGAGAGTTTAGATACGATTTCCATGCTCAAAAAGTGCATTTAACCTCTTACATTCAGGGTTTTCTGCACATGAAGAATTTCGACTTTATTCATATTCTAACAAAAATATTTTGGCTTATAGATGTCCCCACTGGGGTCTGTATATTTTGTATAAATTTATTATTTTTTGATTGATTGCAACAAATACAGTTCCTTCATTTGCAGAAAGTGTCCAGATCATTTCTGCTAGATTGATATAAAACATGATAAGTAAACGCCAAGGTCACGCGCCCTAATCACACTCTAAGAGGCACTAGAACTTTCGCTGAATTCCCACTGAAGTGGTGCTGGAGTAGAACTGTTCACACACTTGCTGGCCGCTAGTTTGCAATGACCACGCGCATAGACGTTGTCCTAAAGTGTGCGTTCCAGGAGAAATTGTCCGGAGAGAGAGATTTCCTCGCTGTATAGATAGGTGGACAACGCGACGTTTATCAAATACAACAATATTAACTCCATTATTGTTTAGAAACGATTTGATCTTAGAACCCTTCAATAATTTGTATTTGCAAGCTATGTAGAAGAAATATATAAAAATAAATAAATGTTAAATATGTTATCTATTATAATCATATCTCCTTTTATTGTCTCTCAGTCCAAATACGACGATGGTCGAATTGTATTGGAGTCACTTTAAATTTATAATACTATGATAATATTAGTAGAATACTGTTATTATATCTTTACTGGGATGAAGAAAATAAGTGAGGATATATCCATTCCATGAATTCTTACAGACAAACACTATTTTGATGTTGAAAATAGAACTGAAATATTTATTCAATTAATACAGTGGACGAAAGATTTGTTGGTGTTGGAAGAAGAAACGAAAACTGAATTATACTTCTGAAAATGAAAAATGTGCCAAAACCAATATTTTTCTCTAGAGGGAAAATTATTAATTATTTTCAAGACACCCCGCATTGAAACGAAAAAAGAAACAACCCTAGTTCACAACGTTTGTTCATGGGTTGACGAAGAAAATCTTATGGGAGTGATTTCCCCATATTTCCAATTTCACTTTCCATTGATTTAATATCCTGTCACACAGGCAGCTTCCCTCCGGTTGACGGGTACGGAAATGACTTGGGAAATTGTTTAATTATCAAAATCACAAATATACAGAGACAGTCAAATATGATTCGTAAGCTAAAGCACCCCGTTACGTCGGCTAATCTGGTAGGCTATGCACCCGAATATGGGTCACGTTAATCTCCAATTGCCTCTTATTTGACCTATTTAGCCAGTTATCGGCTATTTTTGCGATAGACATTCTCCTTATTGTTATTTTCAATGACCTTTTTCGTCGCCTTTTGTGCGCACGAGATGTGCTAAAGACGACTAAAATGCCTTCAGTCTCAAATAGAGAACATCAGAGTCATTCTGAGATGGGTTAAATGAAAATTTTCAAACTTCAATATTATTCATCTAATTTTTATTGCTTTTTATGACATATTGAATTAAATAAATATGATGGTCATGTACTTTGGATATGTTATATATGTAAAGTGGTGTAAGGATTGCAACAAACAGTGATGTAAGGAAACTTGTTGTTGCAAGATATATTGCAAAGTAAGACAGAACAATACATACGATACAATTCTAAATTTTGCCATTAAAAATTTAATTGAAATTAATTTTATGTAATAATACTAAAAATGAAAGGAAGAATACTAAAATTTAGTTCTATGTTATAAATTAGAGAGCACAAATATCTCTTTGGATATCTCGAAATCCGATAGAACAAGCTTTTTCCTATACATTATAGGGGACTACTAGAGAAATGCAAGCGAAAATTTCGCCCCTTCCCTCTTTTGCACTCTTTACAAGTGTACTGTAATGAAAAATCACTTTATGGGAAATTGATGGGTGGTCTCAAACCTTCTTATTTCATACAGAGTGTGGGTGAATTGTTTTCTTATCCATTCGCAATATCCGGCAAATAACGATTGTATGTGTCGCTATTGTTGACATCCCCTCGTCGGTTGGGGATTTATTTGAATGTCGATTTGTCAATTTCGACAATTTTGCCTTTTTGCGAGGGCTTTCCATCGCTTCTGTCACATTGCGTTATGATTTGTTTCCCCCCGCAAAACCGGAAGTTCTGTCGCTGACAATCAATCACGCCGCGAGGGACAATACGACCAGAACTCATTACAGCAGGGGTGGCCTACATTTCATACATCTGCCGCAAATCATTGGCCTATTAATTTGCCTACATAACCGCTATGCTATGTTTTTGGATGGGCACACGCATCAATTAATAATGTATATTATCGAGAAAACCCAATTCACTATACTTCGACAAAAATTTAATATAAAGTCATTTCCTAATCCAATAAAGAGTTTTGCTAAAGACTTACTGAAGATTTACTAAACATGAACTGCTGCAAAAGTTTTCTGCTATTTGTATTTTTTAAGAATTACAACTGCAATTAATGTTTGTGCATCAATGATAAGTGGTTTATAGAAATGTAACCAATCTACATGCAGACGTGATTAATAGTAAGGCCAGAAGCAATTTTCAGGCAATACTAGCCTGTTACAAGTGCGTTTAATCGGCAACTGGTTTAGCCTACCACTAAATATTTACATCACAATCACTAAGCCTTACCAGACCTTCTCAAAAATATACCAGCCTTGCTCTGGTTGTTATTTAATCGGAAAGGTTATTATAGAAGGTAGGACCCTGTTTGTAAAAATTCTCATGAACAACTCAAATTAAATGCCGAGTAAATATCTTTAGAAGACCATATATTTCAGAAAAACTATCCGTATATTAAAAAAAATAATAATTCAGGCATCTATACTGGTAAAGGTATTGCACGTGTATTTTTTTAGTTCCTCAGATTATTTTCAGTTCGGTTTGATAATTGATTGAATTGAAATTTTGCCAAATAATACAGCATATTTTTCGGTCAATGAATTTTTACACTCATTTGAGCACATGAATTGATAACACTCTTTACATTGCGCCTGAAAAGTAAAATATTGTACGAAACTGTAAAGTTGCAGGGGCCAATTTCATCCGTCAAATGGTATATTGAAATCCACCGCTTACCGCGAAAATTTTGGCGCGTGCGAAGACAATTTGTAAGATACGCACTCTATTTTTCGCCGGAGCCACGGAATATACCGCGTCGGAAGTAGAAAAGAGCTGTGATATTATGCTTTGAAGATAATAGTATACTCTCATGGTCAATTATCATGGAACTTGTCGCGAAAAGCGTGAAAAGTGCAAAAAATATACGCGGAACAGAGTTCTTTGTTATGAAGTCGCCGACTTACCAGAAAAATCACAGTAAATTGCATTTAAATAGAAAAAAGTCTTTAAGTTAAGGTATATTGATGTATTTAGCGCTATTAATCTAATACTTAATACCACGCGTATCTTGTGTTTTCCTTCCTACTCTAAGCGTTGCTATCTTCGTGCCACTATACATACGAAGATAGTATCGCTTAGAGTAGGAAGGAAAATACAAGATACGCGTGGTGAAGAAAGAGATGAATAGATGACAAAGTTGAAAATGTTTCGCCGACAAATGCTGTGTTTTCACCATTATAATATTAGTTCAAGCTATAAATTTAAGAATACGTAGGCGCTTTACATACATATGGTAAGTTGAGCAAATACTGAGGCAGTTTTAAGCTATAGTTCGTCTCTTGGAATTTTCGTTACAATTAACAAAAAATCCAGTTCGCTAAAAACTTACTTGACTGAAAAACGACTTTGGTTATATTGTGACCACAATCGTTATTTCATTTGTTTTTGGGCACAATGTATATTTCTGACAAATAGAAGCCACATTTTGAGAAAAATGACTATGGCTATAAACAAATTATCTGCAAAAAAATTTAGAGCTGGACCGAATTATATATTCAGACGCCTTTAAATTAATGGACTTGTAGCGCCTAAACGGTAAGAAATATCGACATGCGATTTTGACCAAGGATCAAAAATCCTACTGCCGCTAGAATTTGGTGATGTCAAAAATTTAACCCCTCACGCCTTCATCCACCAATTTGAATACAACCAGAAAACGTTTTGCTCATTTGTTCAGCCCTTATAGCATGGATTTGCCTTAAATTCTAGTATGTTATAACGGGACTCAGGACCTTTCCAACCAATCGCTACTAAGGAACCTAGGTCCTTCCAGACACTAGATTTAAGGGCCGAATTTTCAAAATTTAAAATGGCCATAACTCCGGTTCATATTATCTGATCTAAATAATTTTGGATTCATTTGAAAGATCTCGTAAAATTTAATCTTTCAACTAGATTAGCACGTACTTTTTAGTGAATCCAGCATCACGAATCAACCTAATATACAATAACTTAAATCAACAAACTTATAATTTATTGTATATGTACGCTCGAGTCCTTTACATTCCGGGATCCCCACCGATTAGGGCCTCGAGCGGCGGCGGCCGCCGACGTTCATTACAACCCTAGCAGGATAAACGGCAGAAACTCCTGCATCATTGACCGAAAAAGTACATCCACTTATCCTAAAACTTATACTAGCACAGAATATAAAACATATATGCAGGTTACGGGATATAGGCGGAGGAATTCGGGAGGCAAGGGGGTCGAGGGATAAGAGGCGGCTTAAGCTCTGATGAGCTTGTGGTGCCGTTAATGTGCCCAGTTAGGATTAAGTAAGCTCTGACCGACAGAGAAAGCGGACGATGCAAACCATAATCCAGACTCCGGTGAGAAAGGACACTCAAAACGGACTTGAAACGAGCAACAAACAGTAGTGAACCGATAAAAAAGAATGAACAAGAAAGACAAGAAAAGCAGGGAAAAGGAAAGAGAAGCAAAATAGAAAATGTAACAAGGAGGCACCTCACGGTTAAACTAAGGGACTACATTTATGGTTGTGAAAGTAGGTATATTTCAACAAATAATGAATAAACTAAATCCAATATAACTGTAGGTTAGCCACAAATCAAATCTGCCATTTTTCGAGTAGGTGATGTCGCCTTCCCAAAGCTCACTCATAAGTGAGCCTTGGCCGCCTTGGCGATCAAATTTGGACACATTACTGTCAAACTACAGAAGATCAATTCGCTCCCCATGGCAAAGCCTTGACTTGATTTCAACGAATCTGCCGACGTCGAAACTGCGTAGAAATGGTGATTAGGTCGTGCCGTCAAACTACTTTGATTATCTGATATCTGATAAATTTTAACATCTTTTTCAAATTTGTAGATTTGATTAGATCATACAGACATTTGTGAGATTTTTAGCTTCTGCGTAGACTCGGTGGACATCCTATCATTTGTCACTTCGTATACCTGAATGAGTACGTAACCTTCTCTTGGAAAACTTCATTGCAATCGTGATACGCTCCTTCTCTTCTCATAGCAGTTAATCCCCATGGTTATCACACAAAGTTATTATACCGATTAGAATAAGATACTCTTATTCTTTAGATTAGATACTCTGGATTAGATACTCTTCTGGGAAGCGTACATAATATCTTACAGCATCTTTGTAGAAAAATTTCCGCTTCGTCAGCCCCATTTCTTGCAACGCTAACAGATACTCCGTACATGAGAAGTTATTAAAATGAAAACCTCGCCAAATTTTAAATAAATTCATTAAATTTACAACTTGCGTTGCAATATAAATTTTTTTTTTAAATGATTATTTCTTGCACTGATTTCAAAAGTGCACGTGATATTTAGAGACGAATTGGGTTTCTGTCTTAACATGAGTTTTCTCTTGGTTTTGGCGGCTAGAGAGTAGCGGTCGCAAAGGGGCGATGTCATCCAAGCGCAAATCACCCCCAACGAAGCTAGAGGGTGGGAGCGAAACAGATCCTATCATTCAAAAGAATGGCGAACGAACGGATGAGGAGGATGATGAGGAAGATTTAGTAAATCCCATGCACATTGAAGAGGACGATGAGGCGGACGATGAAGAAGATGATCTTGAAGAGGAGCTATTAGAAATCGACGAGGCTCCACCAATGCTTTCAAACTCCTCTTCTGAGGATTTGGAAGGTCCATGCAAGAAACAACGACTAGCCGAGGTTAAACAATAAAATAACAGCACGTAATTGTATTAGTTGCTCATTTATTCGAACTGCTTACAGATCACCCCTAGTACCGCCACTGAGCTCATATCTAGTCACTTATCGGCGCCAAACGCAGCTCTTAATAACAACAACAGCATTAAGATGTCACCGCCAGCGGGGTGTAGTCGTGGTGTTAACTGTTCGGCTGCTTTTGCGCAAAAGCGATCGATGGACGATGTGTTAAGACGTTTAACGAATAAAATGCGCGGCAGTTCGTTACGAGAGGGTGCTTCGGAACAGCAGACTAACAACAATAACACCACATCGAGTAATTTAAATATCTGCAGCAACGGTGGTGCAGCAAAGCGCTACAGTGACAACACCACTGCATATGCATTAGTAGACAGGTAAGTAATAAAATTCAAATCTAATTGTCAAATTTACATATCTCAAGCATATTTTCAACTCATTACAATGATGATGTAACAGTAAAGTGTAAGAGACAGATAATTGTAGCCTGTAGAGACCTTTTTTGTGCGGTTCGTAGCCTGGAAAAGAAATGTGATGTCCGAATTTACCTTTGCCTTATTTTTTCCCATTCTCTCTCCTAGTAGACTCAATGGGCTATGGAGTTGAGTGAGCCAAGAGAAAATTGCTTTTGAGCCAAGTTTTGAGCCAAATCGATTGCTTACTCGTACGAAAAATTTCATAGATCACAAATATACGCTGTTTCGTAAAGTAAGGTGATAGACTGAACTGTACCAATGGAAAAATTTCATGAATAATCCTCCATTAACTCTAATAACTATGTGAGATGCTGATAATTTGTTCTATATATATATATATATATATAATATATATATATATATATTATATAATATTATATATATATATATATATATATATTATATATATATATCGGTTTTTATTATATTATTATTATTTATTATTACATATATCGTTCGTTATATATTCATTATTCATTATTAATGAATAAGACTCAGCTCAGCTACAAGAAGAAAGTAATTATCTAAAGCTAATCGTTCTCTATTCAAATTGGAATCAGAACTCCAGTTTTAGGAGTTCTATTCTGCCATGTAGACTCCATCTATATGAAAGTGTAAAAGCGATTTTTTAAAATTAGGAATCACGATTCAAGAAAACAAGAAACCCAACATTGTCAAATCTAAAAGCAAAACAGATGGAGTTGCTATATGTGTTCAGTAGTTACGCAATACAAATTTATATTTTTTGTCCATCCGTCTGTTGTTCGAAATGAGTCTGTAGCACCTAAACCAAAGTTTAAATACTTCATACTTATGGTGAAAACGTAGCATTCTGCTCATACCATTTCGAGTTGGTCCTGACATACTCTCCCGCTTTTCTTTTTTAATCTGCTACTCAACTTTGGCGGGCAATTTTGACAGCAATTGTTTCACTACACTTGTCAAACCTGAAGTTCAGCGTGGGTTGCCCAAAGTATCTGCATTGCCCAAAGAAAATCTACAAAATCACACACTACAAACTATGTTGTGCGAGTAGAAAGAAAAATACACGATACGCGTGGTGAAGAAAAAGAAAAACCCGGTCAATGGTTCGCCGTGAAATTCTGTGTTTTCACAAATAATGTTCAAATTACAAACAACTCTTGCTTTTTTCACTGTGCACTGCATTGCATTGTATTACATACTCTATTTAATATCTACTTTAATAACTTATCTGTATCCTTAAAATAGCTATATTTCTTATAAATTGAATACTTCATTCTTAAACTAAATCTCCTACTAATCACATACTCTAACACTGTTTCATAGAGGATAGCAATTTGCATTCATTTATAATATTATACTATAATACAATCGAAATTTGGCATTTAAAACTTTGGGTGGGAATAGCTTCTGTAAATTTCAACTCCTAAAATATTATATACATACAAAAAAACGATGAAACTGGTTCTTGTTACAAAAAGCACTTATTTTGGTGTGATTGTTTCAATACAGAAACTCAAATTTTACCATAGGTAGAAAGCATTTTAAAAATTTAAAAATTCATATTTAATTCAAATTCAAAATGCTCTAAGTTTTAAAAAGGCTATCGCGAGTCAAATAATACAAATAAGTGATGAAATAAATAAACGAATACAGATGTATAAAAAAGTTCTTTCTGAGAGGAGAATATTTTTCATCACGCATAGAGAGAGTAGATAGAAGAGGCATTCAGGTTCCTGTACTCTGGACAAGAATCGAGCTATTCAAATGGGCATTTGAGTATCGCGCCCCGACCCTACTTTTCTGCCGTTTTGCCGCGCAGAGGCTGTTTTGAATGACGGCGGCAGCCGCCACTCGAAGGCTTAACTGTAGTAATTCTGTAAAAAGGCTCGAGTGAAATAAATATATTCTATTCTATTCTAAAACGGTTATAACGGTTTCAGAGCCTAAATGCCGTGCACTGTTTAAATCATTATGATGATGTAGCAAAACACATAAGGATTTTAATAAGGAAAATCCAGATGAGAAAAATGTTGTAATATAAGTCATAAAATATTGTTAACAGACTTTTTCGTTTGAAGCATTTGCAATTTTTTCTCCGCAATGTATTCATCCTTATTTCTTTAAACCCTTTTCACTCACCGGTTTCCAATATTCTGCGCTCTTATACTGTTACTGTTATTTAAGACATCAATTAGTTTGATCAAAAAATTTTGCCTTTTCCGATGACTTTGACTATGTTTATGTTTTTTTAGCTCCGACTATCGGACAACAGACTCATTGCTCAGTTGCTATCCAGGAAGCGTACAGGAGAAGGAGCGGAAGCTGAACGAAATGATCCTGCAGTTACAGCTTGTTCGTGATCACTTAATCAGCCAACATACAGAAAGGGTAAGTTTTGGGGAGCGCAAGCGCCCGCCGGGGCGGCCCTGAGTCCGCGGCTTTCCCCGCGGCCACTGTACTGAGTGTACAGGTCATCGACTGGTCCAGGCAACCTGTTTCCGCGCACACCTGATTTCACCTGTTCGCGCGCAAGTGCCGGGGAGACCGAGAAAAAACCCACGTGAGCGCGAGAGAGAGCAAGATCTCGCGCGACATTCCACTTCGGGTTATCCACCTCGCAAGTTGTTAGAGTATGCGTATTTGGCGCGAAATGCGTTTACACGCACTGCTTGACAGCCCACAGGAACCCCATATCTAAGACTTCTTAACAATGCGAGTCAAGGACAACTGACATTTACTCGCCAGAAATTTAAAATCAAACCATTCTCGTAACTTTTCTGCTGCACGAAAATTTTTGACAAGTAATCCGACAGACGTTTCTTGTTTGCAGCGTCAGTGTAGTTGGAAATAACTTTCGGAATTTTTGTTTTAAATTGAATAAGACGCTTAAGACGTAAAGTACTAAGAAACGCTGTATTTTTATTGACATAATTTCAAATTCTGTTTAGTATTTCACATTTTTAAGATTACAAGTATTGAAAAAATGTAGCAGCAAAAGGAATATTAAAAAAAAATAGGAAACAAACTGAATTTGAAATTATTATTTTTTGATGAAAATATTAAAATGAGCATCTCATGTGCTAGCACTACTTGAAATTGTATGAATTTTGCCAGATCTCTTCACGAACCTAGGTGCCATATCTCACTACGATGAGGTTGCGGCAAGAGCTACGAAAATTTCTCGACAAAGAATACGGAAATTTCCTCAGTTGACCATAACTCTCATATTTAGGAGACAGAGGAAACTAATGATAATAAGTGGCTCAAGTGGGAAGGAAGAGGTCCTTCTATTGGACGATGAAAAGAGCATCAAGAGCAAAAGAAAGCAAAAACAGCGAAAATGCAGATTTAGTGATAGCTGGTGCAAGAAAAACTGAGTATTACGGAGTACGCTATAAAAATGTATTTTTTTAGCAGAAAAAATCTGGGAATTTTCGTCCCATTTTAAGTCTTGAAAGCCTATCTTATTGAGCTTGTTCCTGTCTGTCCTTACACATTAAGTCATGGCTTTTCAATGTATATCATTTTAAATCCGCAATTTATTCGAAATGCGATTTTCCAAATCTGTCCTCAAGGTTTTGTGCTTAAATTCAACGCTAGTTAATGATATGGAATAACTTCCTAATATATTTTATATATTTCAATATTTTCATCGGTAGGTGAAATTGTAAGACTTGACATAATCGGCCTTTACGACCATGCCTTCAAGTATGCATTTTGCCTCAACCACTGCGCATTTGTGCTGGCTTGAGACAATTAAACCTAGCTTGGTGGCCCACACTGTATCTTCAGCCATTAGTTAAATCGTGGACTATTAGTGGTACACTACTTATCGCACTACTAATGTAATGTAGTACGATAAGCTTTTTAGAAAGGTCCTGACCTGAACCACAACATACTGAAAACTTATTAAAATAAAAAACGAATTTGACGAGGTGCAGGCGGTGTTCAGAATTATTTCAGTATGGCGACGTTCGTAACGACTTTCATCACTTACAATAGATAGAGTAGCTACAGAACGTCAAGATTCGTACCTCGTATTGAGATTCTTATTCTATGTCTTCTCCCACAACATCGAACACAACTAGTATAGTATTGTCGAACAGGTCTCAACCTTAGCTTCATACATCATGCGAAAATTTTAGGAAAATGCAAGATGGTTCTTCAGAATTCTTTCATCTCGAAATTTTAGAATGTTAGCGAGACCCTTCCAATAAGCACAAAATTTTTCAAAGGAATTGCTTAAGGCCTTTGGATACATTGGAAAGATATTGGGATCAACTTTAACATACTAAAATTTGAGTCTTATTCATGCTAGAAGGGCTAAGCAAATAAGGAAAATGTGTTTTTGTGGTTATGAAAATCGTGAAAGGATGGGTGGGTTCTGGATTTAACTTCACCATTTTCCCCTCGCATTGCATACTTTAAACCAATGGTAATAACCGCATGTCCATATCCCTTACCCTTAAGGCGCCTGAAGCCCACTTATCTTGGTGTTCGAAACGATCGACGAAAAAATGATCCTCCTCATTTTCGTCATATTTCGCCTCTCTCATACCAATGTATGTAATTTTGCGAGATTTGATTTTTTGCGTGAATATAGATAGTCGCTGTGATGTAAATCCGAGCTCCCAATATCCCGCTTTATTTCTAAAAGTCTGCTGAATGATGAACGTGAAAATTTTTAGTAGACATTCATGTCTCGCTGATACGTGAATGTCAATTTGATAATTGTATTTTATTTTGTAATTGCAATACAGTTGTTTGTCCCACTTCCTTTTGATGTACTGCTACTTAGTGGAATGGGTTGGCGGTCTAAGAGGGAAAACAGTGAGACTCCTTTGATAAAACTCGTCCCAATGCTCTGCCCCTCTCCTCGTCCTTTTTTCCGCGCGTTTGTGCTGATTAGGTATCGGGGCGGCCTTTGTTTGTCAGCATCAACAGTAGGAATTAGCAATGAAAATGAGCGAGCACGAGTGGGATGGAGAAGATAAATATCAGCGTGACAAAGGGCTCCGACAGTGTGGGCGGAAAGCGTGCTACCAGGTGTGTGTTGTTGGAAAAGCTCCCGCCCGGAGAGCGGGGGCGTGGTCCTGACATGGCCTCCCATTGGCAGCTGTGTGGGCGTTAGGGGAAAGCTTTTGGATTGGGCAGCTGAGCTTTTGCTTCCCAAATAAAGTCAAAGCACTGTGCTCTTTCCACTTTCAATAAAAGAATCAGTCAACAAATGGAAAAAAAATTATATCACCGACAATGCCTCTACGAAACTTTTAAATGAGGTTTCACAGAAACCAATCTGCTTAGTCTATAAAATGGTACTGTTTTCTTATTGTATGCTGTCTAATTGTTGCCTTTTCAACGAACAAAACTTTATATTGGTATACCAATCATACTTACTCGAAACTTAGCGACTGTATTCTGAAAATATTATCTCAGATATTGAAATTGCAATTTTCCTTAATGCCGAATTGTTCTGGAAGATTGAATGGAAACTATATATAAATTAGCGAACAAGTCTTTAAAATTATCTTATATAGATTTCCACATGGCAAGATGTACAAAAAATGTAGGAGTACAAAAAAACCCTACACACTACCTTACATATAGCAAAAAAAACTAACATAATACTATTTTCACAGTCTTTTTTGCTCCTGAATTTTCCAATCTATTTTCGGTTCGTCTTTTCAGAAATGTCTGTTCTGATCAAAATTAGAGATTGAGTTGAATTTTGGGTTACGAAAATAGATTTTGAAACCTACCCTAAGGCGGGTAATATTCCAGTCTTAATTCAAATGCCTTCGACTAGTTGATTGATAAAATTGAAGCAAAATTTTGATTTAAATATCTATGCCGGTAATTACCTACATATGTATATATATTACATATCAAAATATCTCCATATATACGTATTATATATATGTATATATATAATACTTTTGTACGTTTTAATTTTCCGTGACAATGGAAAAAATTGAAATTCAACACAGAAACAAATAGAAATATAACAATAATTTAATTGCTTATCTGCATGTTACGTACCATGGATTTTCTTTATTCTTGATATTCTCTAATTTTATCCTATTAAAAAATATAAAAAATAATTCTTTGTTATGTTATACAAACATTTGGCAAAAAGAACCATTTATTAGGGCATTTGCAGGCAGGAAGCATCTTTCTCTTATGGTGAAACACAGCATTTGTCATTTGAAAATTGGTCGAGTTCATCATCTGTTCATCTCTTTCTTCACCACTCGTATCGTGTATTTTCCTTCTACGTCAAACTCAATACTGTCTTCGTATGTAGAGTCGCACGAAGACAGTATCGAGTTTGACGTAGAAGGAAAATACACGCTACGAGTGGTGAAGAAAGAGATGAACAGATGATGAACTCGACCAATTTTCAAATGACAAGTGCTGTATTTTCACTATTAGTTTCTTTCAATTATATAAAATTAAGAAACCGTTGTCTACTTGGTGTTGTAGTTTGATTTATATTTCTATTGTGATTTGGAACACAAATTTATCTAATACAACATCATATCGTTTTAAACAAATGTTTAGCTGAAAAGAATCTGGAAATAAAATGGTCAGTGTCTCCAGATTCAGTTATAGTGTGTGGATTAGTGTATAGTACTAATCCGACAAAATTATCATCTGGTTCTAATTTTTTCCTACCCCAGTCAGTTGGTTTTCCGTTACATTTTAGAGATAAATGGATAAGATAAAATTCATTTATTCATTGCTTCTGCCATGAAAAGTGGTATATTTGTGGCACGTGTCACGGAAAAACTCATTTCCACCACTATGGGATGATGATCACGTGAAATTTTACAAACTATGTTTGGAAAATCATTAATTTCAGCCATTTAATTAACATGAGAACACAAAAGTGTTATCGCGGAACAACTTTTTTCTCTGTTGATAACTTTCTTGGACGACAATAAATGTATGGTGGTTCAGCTAAAGGAGAGCCACCCTAGTGACTTTGCATCCTTATGGATGGGGAAGCTGTGGATTGTGTCATCCACCTACTCAATTTGTCGTACTTTTGTCACATATCCCCCGCCACTCTCCACCCACGACATCAGGGGTGAAAACGGAGGGGTTGATAGGGGCATTATGTGTCGAACAATATGTCATTAATGTTGTGAGATATCCATGAATCTTCTTATATTCACCCCAACTACATAAGCCGCGCATGAATAGGAAAATCTCGTTTGTTTTGTTTTGTCTTGTCGCTCAATTTTCCTAGTATTCATGCACATTCTCTCCACACCATTACCACCCCTTGACCTTCTAACGACCAGAACACGACTGGTACTGTCATAACAATGATTATGCTGATGTACTCACGCTTATCGCAGTGACTTGCTTTCCTCTTTAACACC